GGGGAATTCTGGGAGTTGAAGTCCACACATCTTCAAGCAGCCAAGGTTGAGAAACACTGGTTTAAATAGTCCCAGAAGACCTTCTGGGAAACTACCAGAAGTCAACACACCTGAATGCCATGAAGTTGAGGAGAGGTCCTCTACAAGAATAGATGGAAGGGCCCGGGGATGGTAGACTTTTATTTATTATAAGCCCAAAGTGATGTGTGCCAGTAAACAGTCCTAAGTAGAAGTCCTATGCAGAAAGCTCTGTAGTTTCTAAAGTATTCCAAGAACAACCTTGAGATTCTGAAACATCAAGTTAACATACTATGGCAATGGAGGGGAAAAAATCAGCACCCATCTCAGTCTGAAATTCAATATAGGTAGTCCTCACTTAACGACTATTCATTTAGCGACTGTTTGAAGTTACAACAGTCTTGAAAGAAGTAACTTGCACCTGGTCCTCGCACTTACAACCGTCACAGCGCCCCCACGGTTACGTGATTGTGATCCAGGCACTTGGCAACCAGCTCACACTTATGACAGTTGCAGCATCCCGGGGTCACATGATTGCCATTTGTGATCGTCCCAGCCAGCTTCCGGCAAGCAAAATCAGTGGGGAACCACATGATTCACAACAATCATGTGATTTGCTTAACAAAAGCGGTGATTCACTTAACGAACACTGCAAAAAATGTAAATTCATGTGTGGTCATGTGATGCCTCACTTAACGACCATCCCACTTAACAACAATTTTTCTGGTCCCTATTGTGGTCGTTAAATGAGGACTACTTGTATTAGTTAAATCTAGGCTTCCCTGTTGATATGCTTTTCAGCTCTGATTTTTCTCTCCAATACCCACCCTCCCTCCCTCCCTCCCTTGTAGAGTTTGAGCAGTTTAGCAACCAAGCCAAACCCACAAGAACAAGGAGGACATAGTTGTGTGTGCCTAGCATCTCCAATGTGTAGAAGCTGATTTAGCTCTGTATTAAGGTTCCGCTCCCAGCCACAAGCGTTTTCTTGGCCTCGTTCAAGAGTCTGCAATGGGCTGGCCCTGCTCTCCATTCCAACCCTCTCAGCCTTCTCCCGGTGGCTTACTTTGTCCTGTTGGAACGCGCATCCTTCCCCTGGCCCAGTGCGCCTGCAACCGTTGAAGGATCCGGTCCTTCTCCTCTCCCTCTCGCAGAGCTTTCTGCCAAAAATGGAAGAGAAACATGAAGTCAAACCTGCACAAACAGAAGGAGTAAATCCAGGGATATATGGGAAGGGGGAGAGGGTCAAAGAAGTCAAGATGGTGGGAGCACCCATGCAATCCAAGCCCCCTCCTTTTTTACATGCAATCACATGGCTGCCATCTTGATTTGTTTGGCACCCATGGATGTCCCTAAGTAAATCGTGCCTGCTGAAAAGGCACTTCTTTGGGGAAAACACTGGTGGTGGCTAATCCCGTATGGAGAGAAGTTGCTATATATTGGAACTGGGGTTGGAGAAAAAGAAAAAAGTTGTTAGAGCAGGGAGGATTTTTTATCACAACAAGGAGAAAGATGCAAGATGTATTTGATCAATGTATTAAAAGCTTCGTTTTATTTCGGAAACTGAAGGGAAATCAAATTAAGAGGGGGGAAAGAGGGGGGAAGGGTCTCCTTCAGTAGATCCTGCAAAAAAAAAAAAAAAGGGAATACTGAACGTTTAAAGCTGGGGTAAAAAGAAAGGGAAAAGACTCCACCTGATCATTTCCAATTGATAAGAGATATGCAATTTAGGACTGGCTATCAGTCACTTATTATTCAAGGACAGTTGAATAATAATTTTTTCGATGCCAAAATCCCACAAGCCCCTCTCCCTGGAAATAGCAATAAATGAAAAACTCATAATTTGCTAACACCTGAAATGAGTTGTGGGTTGTGGCCTCCCTTTGCCTAATAAGCTTTGGGGGTTCAGGGCCCCCACATTCTTTGGGGCTCACTTGACTTGGGCTGCAAGCCTAGAGTGGGTGCAGCCAGACCCAGGAGTAGAAATTAGAAATCCTAGGTAATCTTATCTAAAATTCAGCCCCGTTGATCATCTAAACCGAGAAGATTTGCACTGTTGGGTCAAAGTTCTCAAGAAGGTCTCAGTGTTCTTGCAGGCCACCATTCCAGAAAGCAAGAATCACAGACTTCAATCAGGAGTTTTAACGCAAGAATTGGGGGTAAGGTACTGAATCACAGAAATTGTGACAGGAGCCTCCAGCCCCTTTTAATTAGTGAATGAATTAAGGAAGAGAGTCTCTTTAAACATTGTCAATCTCTTCTTTCCAAACTTTTGCAACCTGGACTGAGTTTATGACATTAAACTGAGCTATTAACAAATTCCTTTCCCATCTATTCACTGTTTACACCTAGAGTTCCTCCTGTTTTGTTTTCGGCCTCCTCCCAATCTCTCCCATTCAAGAAGCGTATAGCACAGACAATAATTTGGAGAAACTTTTTGGAGTATTTTTTTAGGAACTTTTTAAACTTTTTTGAATTATTTTGACAATAATTTGGAGAAAAAATTGAGTGTTTCTAAGCCCAAATCTGAGAATCCTATTCCTGTCATTGATTTGCTTCCCAATGCCTTGATGACTCCTTTATCACCTCCAGGGCATGTTCCTTTATGTTCTCCATCCCTCGGAGTCGAGCCAATTCCGTGCAACGCTCCTCTAGGAGAACAGCTCCTTGGCTTACTCTGGCTTCAGCTTGGGCCAGATGCCTGCGGAGATTTGCAATTTCCTGGCCCCGCTCTTTGGCATCCTGTGATTGCTGACGCAGCTGCTCCTAAAGAGGCATAGAGAAGCAGAAGGCATTTGGTCCACAGAGAAGGTATAATAAAAAACGTTTTAAATTGCACTGGCCTATAGTTACAGGGACCATAGGTCCTTTCTTTCAGAAAGCTGTACTTTAGATGTATTGATTTTTCAAAAACTCACTTCTGGCCTTTATTTTGGTCATTTAACTTTTACGGTACCAATGGTTCTCTTGAATGACAGTCTTTCACATTCTCGGGGAGAAAATCTCTCTACAGGGTTGCTAGGAGTCAAAAATGACTTAATGGCACCTCATCAATCACAATCAATCTTTCATCTTCCTGTGCCAAATATGGAAACTGAATTGTCTTTTTAAAATAAATTTACATATATGGTTTGATTTTAGGTATTTCTGTTGGAGTAGGTGCTTTTGTAAAGTTTTTTGTGGTTTTGCTCTGGAATTTTCCCTTGTAAAACAAAATTATAAACAATTAAAATGTTTTAGCCTTATGAACCTCTTTCAGATTTGGCCCTTTTTCAGGTTGGTCCTTTACTTTTTCCAAGAAAAAAAGGTTGCCAGACCTATAGTTCGCCTAACCTTCCTGGATATGGTGCTTTCCAGATGTGTTAGAATCAGGATGTTACAGCTATTAAAATGTAACACCTCTGGAAGATACCTGGTAAAGGGAGGCAGTGTCTGGGGTGGGGGGTGTCAATTGGGTCAGTCTTTCATCCTCTATCCTGGCTCTTCTGCTTTTAAACCAGCAGTTCAGTTTGCAGGCAGGAGTGGGCAAGAACCATCACTCCCATCCTTTGAAAAACTTCCCTCAGCAATTAAGTACCAACCAGGTTGCTGATGAAAGTTGCAGGAGCACTCAGGTGAGGGGTTTTCTAGTCAGTTGGCAACCCTGACTCAAAGGGGGGGTCTTTCTAATAGAGAAATTGGGTAAAATACCCCCAGCCTACTCTTCCTTCATGGGAAAAGGAGATTGGATTGGAGATCAAAGACAAGGTTGAGGAGAAAGGCCAAGCTTTCCTTGGGGTCCCAGACCACGTGGTGCCCCCCAATCCTTACTTGAAGTTTGTGTTCTCGGGCAGTAGCTGCATCTTCTACCACCTGCAGTTGCCTTGGCCACTGGGCCTGGACCCGGGTCTGCTCAGCCAAGGCCTGGGCCAGCAAATCTTCCTTCTCCTGGATCCGCTGGAGCAACCCTGGAGCAAAGTCGGAGCTGCTGAGGGAATTTGCAAGGGCCTGGAGCCGAGAGAGAGGTGGGAGAAGTCGCATTCAGAGCTGGGGAGGGAGGCAGCCGGCAGAGATCCTCTTTGCAAATGAGGCGTTTGCAATATCTAAGCAGGTATCTTTCTATGCATTTAAAAAAAATCTGGAGCACCCTGTTTTGTTTTCTAATATGGCAGATAATAATGAAAGCTTCTTTCTCATGCTCTCCAAATCCTGGGATGCTTATATCACCAAAAAGGCAAATGTGGGATTCTGATCCTGGGGCAGCCTCGTTCTACACAATTTTTAGCTTTCCAAGTCCCACATCTGGAGCAATTAATTCCAGTTTATCCTAAAGGATTAACACAAGGACTGGGCAGGGAAAATCCGTGAAGTAACTCTGGGATATTTGAATAGAGGTTACATAAAAGCAAAGGATTAAAAAATATTGAATTAAAAAAAAACAGCTTCTGCCACAGTACATGAGATTAACAAGCAACTTCTATGCCTTTTTAAACTGTGGTGAGCCACCCGTAGTCAGGAATTTGAGATGGGCAGCCATATAAATTGAAATAATAAACACACATACTTCTATTGGGTACTATTCTGACTTCATGCCACTTTCACCAAAATGTGTGCTCAAGCTCACTAATGGTTTAGGCAAAGCAACTGAAAATACAATCGCTGTATAAATAAATAATTCAGTTTACTCTGTTTGTCATATTTGAAGGCTCAGGCTAGCCTCTTCTGCAGCAGTGTGTCCTTCTTGTGCTAAGTCACAGTTTAACCATGGTTCCTCAAGCAAGCCATCCTCTGCCTGGGTTGTGGACCTTAACCACAATAGCTGACTTGCTATTACTAGCTAAGCCCAAACTAAGCACCATTTGGTTCAATGTCATGTAGCCTTTTGTAAACGGAAAGGGAACCAAGAGGACAGTTAGCCTCAGTCTAGATGCCTAATACCACGACAGTGGAGTGATAACTGGGAGACAGGAAAGGAGCCTGTGGTGTTACTAGTACTGCTGGGTCTCTCAGGCATTCTTCTTCGAAACTGAGTTCTCAGCATCTATAGCAGTGTTTCTCAACCTTGAGAACTTTAAGATGTGTGGACTTCAACTCCCAGAATTTCCCCACCCCCAAGGGTGGGGGGGGGGGATTTGGGGGTTGTAGGTTA